CTCTCTCTCTCTCTCTCTCTCTCTCTCTCTCTCTCTCTCTCTCACGCACACACAAGCACGCTGCCTGATAACAATTTAGAATGGCAAATGACTAGAGAAGACAGAACACTTGATAGCCTAAGCATGTTCCAAACACAAAGTTTTACCCAACACTCTAATATACACAAATATGACCAAAGGAAAACATGATCGCACCTATGGAGAGCCTTACAGACCATCTCATGCACAGCATGATCAAACCACATAAAATACACACAAGGACCCTCAGGTGTCAAAACCCTATGTATGAAGGACCTCAAGGCATAATGACATAGTCACGATATTCTGACCAAGATCTCTGTGAAAGTTAGTATCTATGGTTAGCTTGACTGATGCCAGAAAGCCTGGCAGTGGTGGTGCATACCGTTAATCCCAGCACATGGTAGGCAGAGGCAGGTGGGTCTCTGTGAGTTCAAGGCCAGCCTGGTCTGCAGAGTGAGTTTCAGGACAGCCAGGGCTACACAGAGAAACCCAGTCTTGAAAAAACAAACAACAAAAAGAATCTCTTAGGAGACACACTTCTGGACATTTGAGTGAAGAGGAGAGACCCACCCTGAATGTCAGAGGCATCATCCCATGGGCTGGGCTCCATTCATATGAATAAAAAGGGGACAAAAGAGAAGGTGGGCTGAGACCAGTAATAATGTGTGTTTCCTGACTGTGACAGCGTACTGTAACCCTCACTACTGCACCTTCCTGACATGATGGACAGCACCTACAACTGTCTGCCGGTCATTTCAACACAGTAAGAAGTAACTGATACAGTAACTGGTTCCAGGAGTAGGGTTGTTACCACAAACCTGGGTGGTTTGTAGGCCTTTAGATTTATAAGAGAAACAGAGAGTCTGAAGCCATGGTATAGAGAAGGCCTAAGACACTCTAAGTAGGGCTTACTGGGCCACTGCAGACAAGCATGCCAACAGAAGTGCAGACAGTGGGGTTCAGGACATGGCTCAGAGGAAGAGTACTTGCCTTGGAGAAGATGACACGACCCTCTGAAGCTGAGACCTAAGCTGCACTGGAACCCTCAGGGTGTTGGAGAGCTATGGGAACTATCAAGGAAAGCTGCAGGCATTCAGCAGAGAAGGTTCACGAGACACTACAAGAAACCATGGAAAGGGACTACCCAAGACCAAGACCCCCCAAAACAAATGCAGCACTGCAGAACTTACTGTTTGCCTTGCTGGGTTTAAGTCTTGCTTTGGTCCAGCCTGTCCTTGGTCTGCCCCCATCCCTCTGTTTTTTGTTTGTTTGTTTTTGTTTTTTTTGTTTTGTTTTTCTTTTTCTTTTTTTTTTTTTTTTTTTTGAGACAGGGTTTTTCTGTGTAGCCCTGGCTGTCCTGGAACTCACTCTGTAAACCAGGCTGACCTCAAACTCAGAAATCCGCCTGCCTCTGCCTCCCAAGTGCTGGGATAGGAGTGCGCCACCACTGCCTGGCTCCCATCCCTCTGTTAAAATGAGAATAGTTGCTCTGTACTGTTGCATACTGGAACATCATCACTTCTTTTTACTATTTTGGGGCTCGCAGTTAAGAGATTGCCCTGAGTCTCAAAAGAGACTTTGGGATCTTGAAAAAATTTAGAACTGTTAAGATTCTGGGAAATCGGGGGCTGGAGAGATGGCTCAGTGGTTAAGAGCACTGACTGCTCTTCCAGAGGTCTTGAGTTCAATTCCCAGCAAACATGGTGGCTCACAACCATCTATAATGGGATCTGATGCCCTCTTCTGGTATGTGTCTGAAGACAGCTACAATGTACTCATATAAATAAAAATAAATAAATATTTAAAAAAAAATGATTCTGGGAAATCTTGTGCCAAGGAAAAAGCTCACTAGGTAAAAAAACATTAGCCATGCAAGCCTGTTGACCTGAGTTCAGTCTCCAGCACCAGGGAAAAAGTGGAATGTGGTGACACACATTTGTAATCCAGGTGCTCCTGTGGGGAGATGGGAGCCAGAGACAGGATAATCAATGAGAACCTCACAGACTTGCTCCCCGGGGTACATAACACAGCAGTAGCAGAAACCAGAGAAACCCTCAATAGAACGTGAGAATAGACTCCTGGAGGGTGACCTCTGACCTTCACATCAGGAGATAACCAGGAGCCTTTGAAGACCAGGGATGGAAAAGTTGACAAAGAATTCATTTGTGATGGCTGGGTTTAGAATCACCTAAGGGGGACACACCTTTATGTAAGCCCGTGATAGTTTGAATAAGAATGGTCCCCAGAGGCTACTATGTTTGAATACTTGGCCCCCAGTTATTGGAACTGTTCGGGAAGGATTATGAAGTGTGGCTGTTTTGGAGGAGGTGTGTCACAGGGGCTGACTTGGAGGTGTGCGTGTGCGCGCAAGTGTGCAGGCACGTGCCTGCTGCCTGCACATCAGCATGTAAAGCTCTCAGCTACTGCTCCAGTGCCATACCTGTCTGCTTCCCACCATGATGATCATGGACTAACCCTCTCTAATGGCAAGCAAGCCCCCCCCCCCAAATGCTTTCTCTTCGCTCGGTGGTGTCTCCTCACAGCCCAGGAACAGTGTCTCTGAGGCTGTTTCTAAACTGCTTTAACTGAGGAGGGAATCCCCACCATGAATGCAGGCAGCAGTATCACCGGGCTAGGGGCGCACACTGAATAAAAAGTTAAATAGAAGCCACTGAGCTGAGTGTCAGCATTCAGTTCTCTGTCTTCTGACTGGGGACACAATGCAAGCAGCTGCTTCAGGGTCCTGCAGCCACAGCTAAAGACAGCTCACCACCCCGCCTTCCACACTGTGGTGGACCGTACACTGAAACTATGAGCTAATAGAAACCTTTCTTCTCTTATGTTCCTTTTGTCATGTATTTTGCCTCAGCAATGAGAGAAGTAACGAATACAGTCACCACATACATGGCACCCATATACCCGTGACTGTCCTTCATCCACAAAGGCCTAATTTGTCATGGTGTATGCACCCGTCCCGCTTGAAATCCCCCTCTCCACAGCACCCTCAGCCTTCCTTCAGAGGAACAAGGTTCCTTGTCCTGAGTCCTTCACTGTATGATCAGCTCTTTGAGGTGACATAGCAAACTTTTACACAGTGACAGATCTTAGACAGCTGGATGTGCTCGTTCATGCCTATAGTTCTAGCACTTGGGAATTGGAGGCAGGAGGATCAGGGGTTCAAGGCTAGCTTACTGAATGTGTCTTCCCCATTTCTACATGTATCCTTCACTGTAGCTGAACCCTGGGAGACCCTTAACACAATTACATGTGTCTTTCAGCTGCACTCACCTACTACTACAGACCTGCTGGAGTTGGTACCCCGACTACGGTTGATGTCATTCCTAGTGGGGCCCAACTTCCTCCAGTTACATTCCTTTTCTGTCAGAGCTATCTAAGCCACACTGTCCTCTTGAGCCAGGCTCTACCCATAAGACCAGCCCTTGCTCCAAGGGGGTGATTGTACAAATAAGGTCACAGCCTTCTCCCCTCCAACCCATACCATCTCACCCCAGGGGTCACTGAAAGGTAGGGGGAAGGCAACGGGCCAAGCAGGGATCGATGGTGGCCTGGCCCTTAGCCCAGGCATCCATTAGCCTGGACTCTGGTTTCCCGAAGCCGGATTATATATACCCAGGGCCTCTGGTGGTAGTATCAGCCACCCAGGCGGTGGGTGGCTCACCTCGGCTCCCACCTTCCTTGCGCCCCTGTCGCCTGCTTGCATGCTCGTAAGCCTGTCTCCTCTCTTGCATATTCTGTGATCCTGGGGTTTTCCAGATGGCCCCTTGCTCACCACTACAGTCTAAAGGGGATGGTGAATTAGAGGCAAATGACTTCATCTGTAATGAGAAGCTCGGCCCAGCTCCTCAGTTGGTCTGGGTCTGACTCCTTGTTTCTACCTCAATACCTGTGGCTAGAGGACGGAGGGTGCTCTTCTTGAGGCCCAGAACAGGCAATCCCTAGACCTTCCTCTTGTCTCTGGCTTCCTTAACATCTTTCCAGTTCTGCAAGGTGTCTATCCTACAGCATTCTCACTCCCTTCCCTTGCCTGTCATGGTTCTTGCCCTGTCTCTAGTATCACAGGGTGACAGTGGGCCACAGTTACAAGATTCTTGCTGTGAAGAAGATGGGGAGGCTGAAACTCTGGACAGGTGGAGTGTGTGTGGTCCCTGGGTACTGGCAGTGCTACCCTCCTACCTGACATGGGACAGGATGGATGGAAGTCTTAGAGACCATTCTTCGCTTACTTCAAGGAGTTTGGGAGGTGAAGGGCTTTAGATATCCAGGCTAAGACCTGATCCACTCTTGATCCCAAGCCTGGAGCCACAGACGTCTTGGTCACAATGTTCCTGCTCTTGTGCCCCTGAACCCACTCCCGCCTTCTGCCTCAGTGTGGGGCTATATATCCTCTGACAACACTGGGAACAGATACATTCAACCTATGACCCAAAGAGGCTGAGCCATGCGTCCTGCCCAGCCTGGGAACAGTAGGTAGCATCCAGTATCTCACAAAGTC